GTGAGACTGGAATAGGTGCGCAAGGGAAATGGGAAAATTTGTGAGACTGAGATTGAAATAAACGGCAATGGATCATGAACCAGCCGGGAGGCCCTGTTCCCTCCTTTATGCATCTGTTGGTAGTGGCAGCCAACCAGGGTAGGGAGGCCGCTTATGGCCACTGAATGCACATGGCTAGAGAGCACACTAAATTTATCAATCTTGTTTATTTTATTTATTTATTTTTTCAAAAAACAAGCTTTTGGTTTCATTGATCTTTTGAATTGTTTTTTTGGTAATCCAGCTCATTGATTTCTGCTCTAAGTTTTATTATTTCTTTCCTCCTGTCTGATTTGGGCTCCTTTTGTTGGTCATTTTCCAAGATCCTGAGCTGTGAAGTCATGTTATTTATGTGGGCCCTCTCTTCCTTCCTGATAAATGCTCGCAGAGCTATCAACTTTCCCTTTAACTCTGCTTTAGTTGTGTCCCACAAGTTCTAGTAAGTCGTGTCCTCATTATAATTTGTTTCCAGTAATCTTTTGATTTCTTTCTCAATTTCCTCTCTAACCCACTGTTTGTTCAGCATTAGCTGTTTAATTTCCAGGTGTTTGATTTGATTCTCCTTTTCTGTGTGATCAACTATCTTTAGTGCATTATGGTCCAAAAAGATAGTTGATGCAATTTCTATCTTTTGATTCTGTTGAGCTGTTTTGTGTTCCAGCACACAGTCTATCATGGAAAATGTTCCATGTGCACAGGAAAAAAATGTGTATTCAGTTTTGAGGGATGAAAAACCCTGTACACATCTATTAGCCCTCTCTCTTCGTTTTCTTACTTCAGAGCCAGTACTTCCTTGCTGATTTTTAGTCTTGTTGATATATCAAGCAGTGACAAGATGGGCGTTGGAGCAATAGTATAGTGGGTAGGGTGTTTGCCTTGCACATGGTTGACCCAGGTCAAATCCCCAGCATCCTATATGGTCCCCTGAGCACCTCCAGGAGTAATTCCTGAGTGTAGAGCCAGGAGCAACCCCTGAGCATTGCTGGGTGTGACCCAAAAAGAAAAAAAAAGAGGTGACAAGGCAATATTGAAGTCTCCAACTACTATTGTGTTGCTACCAATGTCCTCCTTAAAGTCTATTAGCAGTTGTTTTAAGTATTTTGCTGGCCCCTCATTGGGTGCATATATGTTTCATAATGTAATGTATTCCTGACACACACATTCCTTTATTATTAAAAATGGTCTTTGCTCTCCCTTCTAATCTTTTACAGCCTGAAATCTATGTTGTCAGATACTAGTCTGGCCATCCTAGCTTTTTAGAGGAAGTTGTTTGCTTGAAGGATTGTTTTTCCTTCTGTGACTTTGAGTCTGTGTTTGCTCTGACGGTTCAAATGTGTTTCTTACAGGCAGCAGAATGTTGGGTTAAATTTTTTAATTTATTTTGCTACTCTGTGTCTTCTCTTTATCTACTCCTCATGGTGGTGATCTGCACTGTTTCCCCATAATGCTATAATAGCATGAAAGCGGATCCTTCCAGTTCACTAGCAGTGTCTCCCTCTTACTCCAAGGGAGGGCTCTAGATGAGCTTGGTCAATGGTGGTCTCCTCTTTCACCTTAAAGGATATTTCCTTCTTCTTTGGTGCTTCTGTGTGACTTATGTGACGCCTCTAGAACAGCTTCAGGAATTGTATGCTTTCTTTTAGATTAGGCTTGTGTTCATCATTATTTTGGTGAGTTTGGGGTGTATTTTGATTAAAATAGGATAGTGGACTATTGGCCTAATGTGGATGAGGTACCTCATAATAGTTAGATAGCAGATGCTGAGATATGAGTCCAATGCACTTATGAAAAGGGAAATTAACTGGAAGCTTCCTGAGTGGCCACTGGCCTGAAGGTCACATCCCTGGCCATTGCTGTACCTGTGGGGGAGGGCCCCTGCATTAGTGCTGTTCCTGGGTTACAGTTCTACTTTAGCTGCACTTCTAAAACTGCAGCTGTCCCCTCTCTCCTAGGTGCTCATTTGGGAAACTTAACCAAGGAAGGGTCTTCCAGTTCACTGTGATAAATAACAAGAAATATTTTATTACAATAAATAAAATATTCATATAACAAGAAATAAATTATCCTTAAATTATTCAGGGCAGGCTATAAGGGCAGGCTTGAGAAGATTTTAGGAAAATTGAAAATATTGGTGGTGGAAAATTGCAATGGTTGGATTGGTGTTGAAATACTGAATGTAACAAATAATCATGAACAACTTTATGAAATAAATACTTTTTAAAAAATAATAAATTTGATTATTAAAGTTTGGGTCTCACAGTTTCTGGGTTGACTCTGTGGTTTGAATATTAGCTCTATCATTCCTTAACATCGTGATGACAATGAGATACCACTTCACACACGTGAGAATGGCACGTATCAAAAATAACGTGAATAATCTGTGATGGTGGGGGTGTAATGTAAAAGGGATTCTCATCCACTGCTAGTGAGAATGCATTCTGGTTCAACTCCTATGGAAAGCATTATGGGAAAGTCTTAGTAAACTTAAAATTGAGCTATCATATAACTCAGCAATTCCACTTTTGGGTATCTACCCCCAGAAAAGAAAAACATTCATTCAAAAGGACACATGCACACCATTATTCATTGCAGCCCTCAGCACAATATCTAAGATTGGAAAAAATAAAAAAAGAAAATGGGCTGGACCGATAGCACAGTGAGTAGGACCTTTGTCTTGCATATGGCCGACCCAGATTCGATTCCCAGCGTCCCATATGGTCCGCCCAGCACCACCAGGAGTAATTCCTGAGTGCAAAACCAGTAGTAACCCCTGAGCATCACTGGGTGTAACCCAAAAAGAGAAGAAAAAAGGTAAGATTTGGAATAAGACTAGATGCTTATGGAGCAATAGCACAGCAGGTAGGGCATTTTGTCTTGTATGCAGCCAACCCTGGTGCCATTCCTCCGCCCCTCTCGGAGAGCCCGACAAGCTACTAAGAGTATCTCACCCACATAGCAAAGCCTGGCAAGCTACCTGTGATGTATTCGATATGCCAAAAACAGTAACAGCAAGTCTCACAATTTGTTGTTAGTCCGGCAACAGATCAGTGAATCCTGAAAATGTGGTATATATTCACAAAGAAATACTATGCAACTATAAGGATTGATGAAATCATGCAATTTGTTGCAATATGGATAAAACTGGAAGACATTATGTTAAATGACATAAGCGAGAAGGAGAAGGATAAGTCAGTTTCTAGTCTCCTATTTTAGCTGACATAAATTACACAAAAATTATTTAATTTCCATTTCCTAAGTACTTAGAATTGCAATATTATTTAGGTCGCTTGTTACAGCAGTAACAATTTGCACATATTGGAACAATGTTTTTTTTTGAGGGGGGTCACACCCAGCAAAGCTCAGGGGTTACTCCTGGCTCTCCACTCAGGAATTACTCCTGGCGGTGCTTGGGGGACCCTATGGGATGCTGGGGATTGAACTCAGGTTGGCTATGTGCGCGGCAAATACCCTGCTTGCTGTACTATAGGTCTGGACCCATATTGTGATTTTAAATGTTTTATAAGGTTGCATTGGAAATACAGTTTGCTAAAATCTTATTTATGAATATATGTTGCTTTAACAACATGTGCTTTCAACATGATTATATGATATATAGTATTGGGGAGGACATATGTTATGAAGCACATATATATGTGCATATATATGTACAGACATAAATGTATAGTTTATAGTATATAAGCCACGCCCGGTTTTTCCTGGCTCTGTACTCAGGGATCACTCCTTGCTATGTGGTAAGTCTATGTGTGGTGCTGGTGATGGAACCTGGTCAGTGGGAAGCAAGGTAAGTGCCCTACCTTCTCAGCCCCAGACCTTTTGTGGGTTTTTTGTTTGTTTGCTTTTTGTATAGCCTATAGGATAGAAAAAAATACACGAATCAAAATAACTCAGCTACAACATGGAGAGTCCAGAATGGTACAAAATGATACTCAAAATTCTAATAGTTTATCTTTTTTTTTCTAATCTTTAAAAGCACTAATATTCCTTAGAAAAATTAATATTGCTTTCAATATCGTAACACACTTTATCCCAAGTTTGAAAATTGGGATATTGTTAGTATTTGTATAATAACATTTGTATGTATGTGCTGGCGTGGTGGAGAGGAAAGTTCCATGGAATCTACTGAAGCGAGAATGGGAAGTGAGATGTGTTCCCCGCGAATCAAGTTCAGTTTTGAGAGCGCTTGTAATCAAACTTGAAAGGAAACAGGTTTATCTGCAGGGTCACTGGGGTCTGGAGAAGATTTTAAAGTGGCTGGTGCTGCTCGCATTCGCTTACGGTGGCTGTTGTGACTCAGAACTAAAAATGACGGGCGTGACCGGGCTCCCCAAGCTCCGCGCAGGACAGGATTCCGTCCGGAGCAGTGGCCCCAGGCTCCAGGGAGTGCAGCTCAGACACCGTCGCGGCAGGGCGGGCCCGCGGCCGCGGCGGGACTACAAGTCCCGGCAAGCCCTGCGCGGCGGCAGTGCGCAGGCGCCCGCGGCCTCCGCATCCCGGCCGGCTGCCTCCGGCTCAGGTCTGAGCGTCGCGCCGGGCGGGACAGGTTCCTTTGGGCGCCTCCTGAAGGAGCGGCTGCCCGCGGAAGAGCTCCCAGTGCCTCAGTCTCCGCTCAGTCAGTCCAGGCCCGTGAGCTCTGCAACGTGCAAGTGTTTCTCAGCTCAGGGTGGGGTTTTTCGGTGCAAGTCGCACACAAGCCCACCCGGTAGCACCGATTCTGTCCTTCCAGTTCTACACTTGGTAGGCCGGAGATCAGACCGTCTTTCAGACTTAGACCCTTGTCCGCTTACGTTCCTCTCCATAGTGTGGTTTATGCATCTTGAGACGGGCAGCCTGGGATCAGCAGCAAGGAATGCCTTGGGGATGGTTTCTCCCCGCGCGGGTCGTCGCTGAGAAAGTGGCTTCTCGGCGCTGCCGCCGGCCTCAAGGGCGTGTCTGCTTTGCCCGCAGGTTTGTGGCCCATGGCTGCATCCCAGGCTGATGCATCTCAAAACAGGCAGGAGAAAAGGCGGCAGCTGGACTCGCGCCGCAGCAAGTGCCGCATCCGCCTGGGCAGCCACATGGAGCAGTGGTGCCTCCTCAAGCAGCAGCTGGGCTTCTCCCTGCACTCCCAGCTGGCCAAGTTCCTGCTGGATCGGTTAGTTGTCAGCCGGCCTGTGGCGGTAGTGTGCGGGGTGGGCTTCCAAGTCAGAGCTGAGCACTGATATGCTGATATCTCCTTTTGGTAGGATGGCCTCTGCCCTTTGTGGCTTGTCTTTTAGTGTCTTGCCCCTTCTTGTGTATTCCCAGGGAACAGGGAGGCTCTTTGGGCTGCCCCTTAAGCATGTAAGTGTTCAGAGCTGAGGGTATAGACCCGCTGTCGTGACCTCCCCTACCTCTTGTTCTCTGGCAGGTATACTTCTTCAGGCTGTGTGCTCTGTGCAGGTAGGTGTGTGTGTGGGCGGGGGGAGGGGCAAGAGGAGGCAGTGGGGGCAGTAAGAGGGAGAGGAAGGGCAATGGGTAGTGGCTGGACGCAGAAACACCCTTCTTAAGTAGCTTAGATCAGAGGAACCCCTGAGTGAGTTTGGCAAGAGGCAGGGTAATAGGCAAGGCCAGGGCAATTTGACATAAAGTGCTCTGTGAATACAGGAGCAGTGCTTAGGATCTTGCAGGTCTGGTCTCTGAAGATCAGCAAACTGAATGAAAATCCAGTTAGCTGAGAGTTGGATGGACAGAGTAGTTAGGTATGGCTCTCGTGAGGAATGCAGGAGACCTTTCAGCTCACTCTTGCTGTCGGCCTCCTTCAGGTCCTGAGCCTTTACCACCGAAGGGTCTGCAGTATCTGGTGCTGCTGTCTCATGCTCACAGCCGAAAGTGCAGCCTGGTGCCTGGACTGCGGGAATCTGGGAGCCAAGATGGGGACCTTGTATGGGAGTGCTCAGCTGGCCATACCTTCTCCTGGGGCCCATCTTCAGAGCCCTCGTCATCAGAGGACCCCAAAACGGTTCTTCCAAATACTGCCCAGAGAAACTTGTGTCTGGAAAATCAGAAGCCTGCAGGTAGGTTTGGGTAAAGAAAATGCAGAGAGGGCCAGAGTGATAATATAGTGAGTAGGGTGTTTGCCTTTCACACAGCCAACCCAGGTTCAATTTCTGGTACCTGTATGGTACCCTGAGTCCCATAGGAGTGATCCCTGAGCACAGAATCAGGAGTAGATCCTGTGTGGCCCAAACACAAAACAAAACAAACAAAAAAGTTGTGGAGAAAGAGAGGAGAAAGTGTGTGTGTGTGTGTGTGTGTTTTGGGGGGAGGGTGTTGTAGCTCAAAATCTCATTTTCTAGAAAAAGGATACTTTTTTTGTGAAAATTACAAGATGGCCTCATTCATCTGTGGAATATTTAATACCAAAGAAGAAGTATTAAACAATGACATTAAACAATGACACATTTTTGACTTTGGATTATAATACTGATTAACAGAGGGGAAGTGGGTGGGGTGGAATGAGGATCAAATTAGGGTAGTGGTAGAGAGTCCTGGACACTTTGGTGGTAGTGAGGTACAGTAACTTGTATCTAATTGCCATAAACTTTAATACTGTTGAAATCATGTTACCTAAACTATAATGAAGAGAAGCTGTATGGTAGAAAATAAATATATCCTCAAATATGATTTTAGGTATAAAAGGAAACATACATGGGCGAAAGTGATAGTACAGTGGGTAGGACACTTGTTTTGCATGCAGCCAACCTGGCTTCAATCCCCGCCATCCCATATGGTCCCTGGAGCCCATCAGGAATGATTCCTGAATGCTGAGCCAGGAGTAATCCCTGAGCGCCTCTGGGTATGGCCCCCAAACAAACAAAAGCAAAATACAGAATCAAATATGTGATGTTATTATCACTGGTAGACTTGTAAAGAGAAAATATATATATTTGGACATACTTGATTCATATTCACAAATATGGAAGAGCTTAGAAGAAATCTGTGTGGAAAGATTGGAAGAAGTTCTGTGTGGAAAGAACAAAATGACTGAAGGACAGTATTAAGAGATTTATCATAGTACATCTCTTTATGTACTATGATAAATCATCTCTTTGTGTACTATGAGATTTATCATAGTACATCTCTTTATATACTATAATAAATCATTTCTTTATGTACTATTAGATTTCTCATAGTACATCCCTTTATGTACTATGATGAAGCTTATGGAGCGATAGCACAGCGGGTATGGCCTTTGCCTTACATGTGGCCGACCCAGGTTCGATTCCTTCGTCCCTCTTGGAGAACCCAGCAAGCTACCTTGTAGAGAGTATGCCTTCTACACGGCAGAGCCTGGCAAGCTCACCATGGCATCTTCGATATGCCAAAAACAGTAACAAGAAGTCTCACAATGGAGACATTACTGGTGCCCACTCGAGCAAATAGATGAACAACGGGAGGACAGTGCTACAGTGCTACATCTCTTTAGACTTTTTTTTTTGTAACATGTGTCATCTCTAAAACTAAGTACACCCTTCCCCTCTAGTAGTCTCTACTTCCTCCTTCTTTCTAAGAGTCCTCAACCACTTCAGACATTAGAATTCTACTTCTCATCCTTTAGCTCATATGTCCTTCTTTTGTCATCTCTGTGCCAGCAGGTTTGGAATCTAAGCTTGATAAGAGCACTCTGGAGACCAGATTGCTCAGGTAAGAATGGAAAGGAAAGACAAAGAAGACATGGATGAGGGAGAAGGACCTTGGGCTTGCCTTCCTTGGATCTGCAGCGGGGTGGTACTCCCACCAGAGACCTTCCTGCCTTCAGGAAAAGAAAAGAAGGCAAAAGATGAAGAGGGGATGATCAGCGACACGATGACCCCATGGACCTCCAGATCCTCCCCAGATGAGCAAGTTGGGCTGAGGGAGGGTTCTGAGCACAACAGGAAGAGTAAATAGCTGGTGAGGGAACCTAGAACTTGACAGATTCAAGTGAGGAGAGGGCAAGGTGAACTGTGGGGAAGGGCAAAAATAATTTGAAATTTTAGGTTGAAAGCAGGTGTAAGCATAAAACCTAGTGTAGGAGTAGAGTTGTTTCTAGGATTTGGGGATTTGTGACTTTAGCCCTGGGGTCAAGCAGGGACAGACTCAGAGACAGAAAGATAATGCCCTTCTTTTTATTTTCTTTTCAGCAGTGATCCAGAAACCCACGGGCAACCCTCTTCCCCTGTTACCCATGCATTTAAAGAGACAAGGATACCTCTAGCCCCAACTGCTCCCCCATCTCCTCTTGCTGTGCCATTTTCATCGGTCTCATCATTGAGTTCCGGAGCGCCTTTGCCTGTGGATGTCAGGGTGCAGGTGGAGCTCAATAGCACCTCTCAGACTGCCCGGCATACTGAGCTCCTGGCCAGGTAACTGGACTAAGAAAAATGGCAGGGGAACCCTGGAACGTCGCCCTTTCTTAAGGCCCTCTCTCTCTTGCTGCCTATAGCCCTGGAAGTCAAGCCCCGTCTACTCTGGCTTCAGCCTGTAATGAGGACACTGATGATGCTGCACAAATTGGCCCGAAGAGAATTAGGTAGGACTGCAGGAAGAAGTTTTTGGAAGGGGACAAAGAAGCAAACTAAAGAGATGCAAGTATGCCCTCTCCCTTTTCTCCCCCCAAAGGAAAACTGCCAAAAGAGAGCTGCTGCCTTGTGATTTCCCTGGCTGTGGAAGGATCTTTTCCAACCGGCAGTATTTGAATGTGAGGATATGCAACACACACTGCGTTCTGTGTGTGCACTGGGGGAAGGAACAGGCTGAAGATGCTGAGGATAGGAGTCTAGTGGGAGAAAGAGAGGGAGAGAAATGGTGAGGTGAACAGACAGAACTTACCGACACATAAGACTGAAAACATGGTAGATGAGGCAGACACATAAGCCTCAGATTCACAGCCTTTGGTTCTGCAGTTTTGTGGCCTCTTCTAGGACGGCTTGAAGATGACAGTGGAGGCATTTCCTAGGGTGCTATGATAGTGCTAGGGTTCCCAAGTTTACATTCACCTTCACTCTGCTGGCATGAGTGGGTATTCTTAGTGTGGGAAGAACTGGGAAGAAAATTAGAAGTGCTGCGTGAGAAAGACCCCAATCAGCCTGAGCCCTCTCCACGTAGGTCCTGATGGTAAGGTCCATGGTGGAATGGGTAAGGCATTAGAAGATGGGACATGGTGAGGAAACAAGTAGGAAAAACCCCAAGTAGAACCAAAGCTTTGACTGAAAAGAGCCTGTACCAGAACTGACTAAACGTATCTGAGATTGAAGCAGCTCCCAATGGCAGTTTAGCCATTAGAAAGTGAGATTATGGATAAAGCTAGCCAGGATGTGAAATTAACTTAGTTAAATTAGACAAAAGGAAATATTTCCCAGAAATACTTAGGGAGTTAAGGTAACATTCCTTAGAAGTGTACCGTTTTAAGGTAATGTACTTAGAATGTAGCTTAGAAGTGTCCTATGTTGAAAGAGACATTGTATGTGTTGATATTTCCAAAGCAGTACCATCAAAAAGTATGTATCAGATAATACATACTCATAGTGAGCTATTAATAAAATGTAGGCAATCTGGGTAATGTATTTTTGATACTGATATCAAAGAGGACAAAAATATTTATCCAAGTGTGAATCCATGGATAGAGAAGCAGGAGTGTTACTAGTGGCACTTTGCACAGGGAACTGGACATCTCGAGATAAGGATATGGGAAGGCATTGACTCTAGAAACTAAGAGAAAAGTAAGTGAAAACAGAGTTTGTACTCAAAATGGAATGAGCTTGGGACTGGAAAGCTAGTGCAGGTGATAAGTTACTTGACTTGCATGTGGCTTTTTGGCAAGCACCAGTACTGAAAAGAGTTGCTCCTGAGCACCCTGGGTGACAGTCAAGGCAGCAGTTATCCACCTAAGAGAGTAAATGAGTTGTAAGACATGTTCAGAGATATGGTGGAAGAATTATCTGACATTATCCATGAGCAGCTTTGAAGATTTGAGTAGGTATTGCAGGGATAGAAAATGCATTTCCCCCTGGAAGAGCAACACATTATGTAAATTTTGTGCAATTAGTGGCACATTAAATGAAGAGGATACAGTTCCCCCAATATATGCTACGGAAGTATGAGGATGTGCAGGTGTGAAGGGATGCCCAGACCTTTCTTAGGAATATCCATAGATATGTAAATGATACCATTTGGAGACTTGCTGTACATAGAGTATTTCTTCCGGACACCAAAATGGTCATGCATTCCTACATGGTGCTTACTTTTGTGTAAATATTTAAGCATCTTGAAAGTGCCTGGAAAATTGTACCACTCTGCTTGGTTTGTTCTTTTTAAGGTAAATCTATAATACTGAGTAGTAGAGATCAAAACATTGGGAAAAAAATAAAACTACATCTCTGAAACTTGAGTTCAGTCCCTCATGATAACTCAATTTGATCCTCTTTGGTTAACCACTCATTTAGTTTTAGGGCAATGCTACATGCTTGTATGAACTTCCTGCCCAAAAACCAGAGTGGGGGAAAAGTGGATAGGTTTGAGGTAACATCAGTGTAAGTGATTACTACTTAGAGTAATGGTGTACTGAGGTACTTGGAAAGGAGCAAAAGAGCCTGCTTTTGGCTGTACTCCTGAGAAGACTACTTGCTTCCTTCCCCAGCACCACAAGAAGTACCAGCACATCTACCAAAAGTCCTTCTCCTGCCCAGAGCCAGCCTGTGGGAAGTCCTTTAACTTTAAGAAACACCTGAAGGAACACATAAAGCTACACAGTGGTGAGTGGTGAGAATGCTTTCTCATTTACACTTATCCCCCTCTTAACCTCATCCCATGGATATTTATCATCTCTCTATGTGGCTTCCTTCATTACTTCTTGGAGATACTTCACCTCCCCCTGTGGGGCTTATCACCTCCTATCAGCAAGATCCCTTTGCAACCCTCTGAGGGTTGACTCTCGCTTAATCCTAATCCTGATTATGCATTTGCTTACTCATCTGTATGTTTATTGTCTGTGCTTGAGACTGTTATAAATCCTGGTATATAGTGGTGAATAAAGCTGTCATAAGACATCTGCTCTTGTGACATAGGACTATGAGGAAATGTGAAAGCAAGGAGAAAGAAGAAAGTACTAGCACCTGTAGAAAGGAAAGTCCTTTGGGCAGAGTCTTAAGTGAAGGAATAGAAACATATTCATGTCTGCAGGCAACACATGGGGAAGCCCAATGCTAGAAGAAAAGAGACCAGATAAGTGGTAGGAGTCTTCCAGACTAACATCATGAGACTCAGATGCTGACAAAATAAAAAGGACACCACCTCAGGGTCTTTAGAGAGACATGATTGATTTAAAAAGAAGCACTGAAACTCCCATGAGAGTAGAGGACTGTGAGAAAATACAAAATTTAGTGGTTGCGATCTGGGCAAATTGGTGAAGTTGGGTTGAGGGTGGTGAGAAGTGATTGGAGACTGAAGAGAGAGAGCTTGAAGGTAGAGTCAGAAAAGTTAGAACAGATTTGCCACAGGAGGTAGGATGAACAGGGCGGGGTGGGGGCAGGGAGAGGAAGTCAGTGAACTCAGAGAAGGTGGGGGAGTGTGGTGATCTTGTGGTGATCTAGAGGATTCCAACCTGAACAGTGAGGCAGAAGGTAATGTGATTTCATGAAAATGAGGGAGAAGGAGCCTCAGGAAGTGGCCATTTTAATTTAGGATACAGTAGTTAGACATCTCAGGTGGTAGGAATCAAGTTCTGGAGAGATGCTGGGGATGTAAAAGTGTTTATCAAGAGCTCCTGGATGATTTTGGCATATACTCACACAGAGAGATGGAGTAGTTCAAAATATCTGAGTAGGGCATAGGGGAAGGTCAGCTCTGCTTCGGAAGAACCAGTGAGGCAGCTGAAGCGTAGTTTCTAATGAGCCAAGTGGAGAGAGTGTTCTAGGGATGAGGTAGAGATCAGTTGTGCCATTTCCCAAAATAAAAATGTGAGTAGGCTACCAGTGACTTCTGCAAGCCATTCGTGACCAAATGACAAAATATCCTGCAAGTCCACCCATTGGAGATTGCAATTTTAAGATAGTGTTGTGATGCGATTCTACAACTGGTGACAGAGAAGAGTGGATGACTGAGTCATTGAAGATCAGGGAATAGGAGCGGAATTTTGGACATGAAGAAAATTATAGCACCAGTAGGAGGAATAGATCCCGGAGTCAGAGTTGTGAGGAACAGAGGAATATGGGGGCAAGGGCTGTAGTGGGGGGGGCAGCACTGGGAGGAGAGTAGGGCAGTGTGTGTAGTCTGATGGCAGGGTGGTGGAACAGAGATCCAAAGGATGCCATGAGAATCCAAGGCACTTCCTCCATTGCAGATCCTGAGGTTTCAATGTGTAGGAGAAACCACTATAGGACTGTGAGAGCTGCTAGAGTTGGACAATAGACAGGTGCTATTAGAGCAGGCAGAAAGATCAGTTTCAGAGAGAAAAGAGAAGGGATTGTCTCTAGATGCCTGTAAGAGTGCTGATAGTTTCATAAAGTACTTTTTAGGGAACATGATATACAAAGATCTATGGGAATGACATTTCTGTGGAGGAGGATGGTTAGGATGGGAACATGAGCCGCGGGTGGATGCTGGGGTGTCCCCTGTGTACCCACAGACACCCGGGACTACATCTGTGAATTCTGTGCCCGGTCCTTCCGCACCAGCAGCAACTTAGTCATCCACCGGCGCATCCACACTGGAGAGAAACCCCTGCAGTGAGTGTTTGGGGATGGAGCCTGGGGTGGTGAGGGACCAGCTGGGAGGAAGATGGGGGCTCCCCGGAAAATTAAGACAGACTGAAGCCCTGCTGAAGGCCTCCCTCCACTGCTGTTCCTGGCTCAGGTGTGAGATCTGCGGGTTTACCTGCCGCCAGAAGGCCTCCCTGAATTGGCACCGACGCAAGCACGCAGAGACGGAGGCTGCCCTGCGTTTCCCCTGTGAGTTCTGTGGGAAGCGCTTTGAGAAGCCAGACAGCGTTGCAGCTCACTGCAGCAAAAGTCACACAGCTCTGCTCTTGAGCCTACAAGAGTCACCTAGACCACCGGAGCCCTGCCCCAGCATCTCTGATCTGTGACCCTGGGATCCACTAAGGGGTCGAGACACTCTCCGGCTTTTGGGTCCAGACCCTGCTCCTGAACACCAGTAAGCAATGAGCATTTCCTGACTCTGGTTCAGAGATTAGATATTGAAATGAGCACCAACACGAGAAGTGGGTACCTGGTCCTTGGAAACTAGGGTGACAGGGTATGGGATGAGACTGGGGTCTCAAATAGCCGGACTTCGAAGTCTCCCTAAATGACAGAATAAATTTATATTTTATTTGTGTATGTGTGTGTAGAACAAGTATTCTGGCACTTCGAGGCAAGATTTCTGATTCCTTTGGAAATATTACTAATATGCCTCGGTGCACTGTAGATGTGTGTGAGCCCTGTTCCTCTCTCTGCAAGCACTAGTGGGCCCCACCTGATGATCCAGCTTTATTTCTCATTTCTTTGTAGCACTTTGCAAATCTTCACTGTGGAGTGTCACATTCACTTTTGTATTTAAGCTGGAAGTATGTGACAATATGTAGAGTGCCAATTAATTCCTGAGGGGACAGGCTGGAGCTGATACAATATACAATCCTAAGACATTTTGTACTCTCTAAAAGTAAGAGAGTAAGAAAACCAAATGTATAGATTCTGGAGTCTTGCTGGAAAATGCAAACATGAGGGAACAATACATACAGCCACTTTGGGAAGGGATGAGAGACATCAGGAAAAGTTCCTACTGTTATACCAGCTGACTCTTGTACCAGTCTTAAAATCTGCAAAGACCGTACGGTAGCCTCAGTTTTGACGAAAGGGCTTCTTAGCATCTGGAATCTAAGCAAACAAATTTATTTTACCAGTCATAACCAAAACATTGCTGGCTAATTCCAGGGAATTTCCCATCCTGTGCTGTTGCCCCATTGAAATCTTGTGCCATGTCTTCAAGCTTTACTTGGAAATAATATTCTAATGTTCCACAGTGTAGTGCCCAGTTTCTGTATTTGTGTAGTCCTTTGTCAGATCCCAGGGTTAATATGGACCACCTTGCTGGAGTGTACCCCAGAAGCATCTTGATTTGGCTATCATTAAGTTTGGCCAATGGTCAGGTTCCCATTTACATCATGTGCATGAACCATCTCTGCCAAACAGCAGGATTGAGTACTTCTAGAGTAGAGTTGTCTTTTACTAAAGTGACTCTCCTACAATTTCTTTGCCCTCAAGATTCCCATCTCAAATAGGAAAGGAACAGAGGGACCAGCATTAAGTGACACCAATTGGCAAGAATATCACAGAGGTGGGTTGTATGTGATTATGGCCACATTTGTGCTAATTTTTTGGAAAGAGAAGCAAAAGAACTTGGTAAGGAGAGGTAGAAGAGACTCAAATAGGAAAAGGAGAGGGGATGAAAGACAAATGTACAGGTTGGAAAATAGGAAAGTGACACAAAGAACACAATAGTACTTGATCTCTAGAAGACTTACCTACCCCCAGAACCTACATCCTAGGAACAGAAATATGCATTAAAGACAGGAAAAGAACTCAGCTCACAAGGGAAAGAGTTTTAGGGGTTCATCAAGAGGCTAACAGACTGGGAAAGTAGCAGGTCCCTCTACATAGATCTTCATCTGTGAGTTGCCTCCCCATAATGGTTAGCCCAGCCTACTCCTGATAAGCATCTCAGGTACTTCCTCTCAACTGGGCCTTTTATTTTCAACAAAGATGAGGACAATCCCAGTGGGGAAAGCGACAGCAGCAGCAGTAGAGGCATGAGTCTTAGCATGAGTACGTACCTGCTGGCGTGGTGATAACATGCAGTCGAGACTGACATACTTGCCACATGCAGCACAGTCTACTGGTTCCTCAATAGTGTATGTTTTGGAGTACAGTCCTAACTTGGAACCCACACAGTAGGCTTTGCCACGCCAGTGGCATTTATGAGGTATGTGCCAGTGTATGTTGAGGATGCACACACAGTTAACCTTTGCCACACACCTGTCAGCAGTCGGGCTTCTTTCATCTGTTTATGCCACTTGATAAGACCCGAGTCATCACTGAAGTGGCAGCCATACTCTAGAAGGAGAGTCCTCTTGCCTCTGTAGATTTGCATTCTCCAGTCTGAGTATGCCCAAAGCCCTTGCAACACATGGCACACATGTGTGGCAACTCACCCTGAGAACTGTGACCTATTATGTGGCCACAGAAGCATCGACAGATGATGCAGGCATAGGTTTCCCCACCTATATATTTCCCACTTATATAAGAAATACTGTTTTCTCACCGGTGTGACATTCTCTGGGAAGACCTTACCACAACTGGACATATGAAGTGCATCCACAGATGTCTAATTAGGATGGAGCTCTTGTCATAGCCCTTTTTTTTAATACTGTACTGGTACATGTCTGATACCAGTGGCGACTGGGTCATGGAGCCATCAGGGAATCAAACACTTAAGTCTGCAACCCTGCATTACTGCACATGTGCAGTGTGCATGATGGGAGAGCCAGGTGGCAGTGGTCCCCAGGCATATGCTTGCCTTTGCAGAAACGCAGTGCAATCTGGTAGGAGGCCAATAGAGGGCATCAGCATGGTTGCTTTTGTGGGTGCTGGCAGTGCTTGTGCAACAGCACAACCAGAAGATGTGGGAAGTGGCAGCCACACCAGGAGGACTGCACCTCTAGTACAGAGTGAGTCGGCCACTGTGGTGGTAGCTCTGGACTCACTCCCTGCAGATATAGAGCATCTAGTTTGCCAGGCCCATCAGTGCGTGAGAAGGTCTGCAGCTCCTGCACAGTGTTCATCGAAGCTGAGGCAGTGGGAGTAGCTTTTCCCCACAAGGTGTGCTAATGCTAATGCAGCAAACGATGTGTAGCAGAAGCTATTGCAGCACTTACTACATGGGAAAGGCCAGTCAGATACCACTGCCAATAATGCAGAGAACATGGTGAAGTCCTAGAAGTAAAGGGGGGAGGGAGGGTGGCGTGGACCAGGGTGGCTGAGAAACATGCCACTCCCTCTTCCAGGTCTCCCCAAATGGCAACAGAGGGGGAAAAGGTATATTGCAGCCAGGTTGCCCTGCAGGGAGACGGACATTGTGAATCCCAACAGCTGCAATGGCTGCAACTTTGGGGAATGAAGGGGCAGTACAGATGCCTTAATTTCTTGCAACTTTCTCAGATAAGATACCCCAAAAGGAGCAAAGCCAGAGGCATCCTAGAAAATGACAGAGGGGAATGCCTTGATTTAGGAAATGCACTAGCAAAAGACTGAGGTGGGAGGCTGGGCAGCCAGTGAGAAGGTCCAGGAGCTTATACTACACCAACACTTCTTTTTTGATCTGTGTTTTCTTCGTCACCAACATTAATCCAGCTAGAGCTGGGTTATTCTTCCAGTAGGAAGAATAAGGAAGGTAAAGAGATAAACCTGTCTGGCAATCAGAGCAAAAGTATAGGAAGGATTGGGACCCAGACAAGGGAAAGTATTGGAGAAACTGAAAAATTTTGCTCCTGATCTCCACACACCAGTGCTCAGCCACAATGATTCCAGGCCTAACTTTGAGAAAGTGATTCAAGATTTGAGGAATGAGTCAAAAGAGAGCACAGATAATTCACAAATAGTATTATCAAAAGTTAATGGTATCATTTGAGAAGTGCTTTTCACAAGTTCAGCAATGGCTGGGGAGAAGGAAGAGATATCCTTTCTAATACTCAGGGTATTCAAAGTTATAAACATTCTGTATATTACTGCCTAAACTGGGCTGGAGCTATAGCACAGCGGTAGGGCATTTGCCTTGTACGCAGCCAACATGGCCGACCCAAGTTTGATTCCTCCACCCCTCTCGGAGAGCCCGGCAAGTTACCGAGAGTATTTTGCCCACACGGCAAAGCCTGACAAGCTCCCTGCGATGTATTCAATATGCCAAACACAGTAACACCAAGTCTCATGATGGAGGCATTACTGGGCCCGCTCGAGCAAATCGATGAACAATGGGAGGACCGTGACCATGAATGCCTAAACTATAAAATAATCATTTTCCTCACTTGTATTTTTAATTCAGAACATTTTATTTAACAAGGATGAATTTTAAGCAAAATCTGCAAGCAATGACAGAAGTCTCCTAGCAGATCAGAGAGTAAACTTTAGAGGGAATATTTCATTTCTTCCAGAGGAACTTTCAACCCATATGAAAGAAACCCATTTTGACATTTGGGATACTGATTCTAACTGGTTGTCAATTGAAAGTTATACTTGCTTTTATGTGAATAAAATATTTCCTCAATACTCTGGTTCATCATAGATGCAAATAGCAATCCTCATGTCTTGATGAATGCTCTGCCTTACCTGTAGTTCTCTAGAATTCATGGCATCTTTCAAACCAAGTTTCCTGGTACTATCCCACTGCCTAGCTAATGCCTCCCAAGGCAAATGGACAAGGAAGGTAAGAAAAATTAAAAAAACATAAACATGCATGCATATATGTCATGCATCAAAAACAAAGTTAAAATTATGGAGCAGAGTTTTTAGAAGAAATCCAGTTTCAAAATAAAAACAAAGAAAGAATAAATTCTATTATTAAAGCTACTTTAAAGAACATCAGAGCTGCAGTACAAATATTACCCAGTACAAATATTATCATGCATATTTAAAGTAATTTTTTTGTTTGTTTGCTTTTTTTTCTTGACCACATCCTGCTATGCTCAAGTAAATCTGACTCAGCACTCAGGGATCACTCCTGAAGGGTTCTGTGGATTAAATTCATGAAGCATATAGGGTACTATGGATTAAATTCATGTTGGTTGTGTGCAAGGAATGCTCTCTATTACCTGTATCTCTATATTATTAGCTTTTATTTAAAATATTTTGATGGTCTGTCATTAAGTACATATGTATTTTTGATTGTCTGTCATTAAGTACATATGTATTTTAGGAGTCAGTTCTTCTTGCTGTATTAATCTCTTGATTGTTAAGAAATGACTGAAATGCTACTAGCTTTTACATTTATGCATTCAAACTAAGTATGGCAAATTGGGCAAATTTGATATCATAGGAAATTAGAGTATTTTGAGAGGATATTTAAAAAACTTTAAGGCACAAATTTTGCTAATATCTAATATGGTCTAATGTTTATGATAGAGCACTGTCAGTGTCACTGTCCTCCCGTTGTTCATCGATTTGCTTGAGCGGGCCCAGTAATGTCTCCGTTGTGAGACTCATTGTTACTGTGTTTGGCATATTGAATACGCCATGGGGAGCTTGCCAGGCTCTGC